GCGCTTTTCCTCATCATTTAGCTTTAAGAGTGGTCACTTTAAACACCAGGAGCACTTTGAAAAGTTAAAATTTCTCAATATGGCTTTGAATTTAGTGTTCTTTCCTCTGTGCCACGTTGTTTCCCTCATGAAGGAAATGTCTTCACCAAACCTCAGCCAATTTTTGCTAAAGCCACCCATCTGCTGTCCTCACCGTGTGAATGTCATGTGTTTGTCAAGTCCACTTGATTCCTCCCACACACTCCATCTCTATATTCTGGGAATTCAGCTGAGGAAAGTTTCCTGTTCCTTAACAGCAACTCTTGGCTTTAGTAAACAATGTAAATGCAAACTGGGTGTTCTCAGGGAAGCATCTGAATACTTCATTCTTTGGATATGTAGAGCCAAAGACAAATAACCAAAATGTGAAATCTCAGCTTTTCCCTGTCTAACATTATCAGAGCTTATTATCTTCCACAGAGGCCCTGGAGGTTAGCTTATGAAACAGGATAAATTTGCATGTAAAAATTAATGACCTGGTATTTCCTAATGGGAATTATTCTCTGGTTAGGATGTCAAGCTCCTTTTAAGTCTCTTTTCTATGAGTTTAACTATATTGAAAAAATTAAATGGAAAAGTTGAAGGGAAATATTTGAACAGTTAGAGTTGGGCCACAAACACAACTTTCTTTGTGTTTACTTAATACTGTTTTTAAGCAACAATGTGTTTTTGATCAGATCATTCTGATTGCGGTGTTCTCTCCTTCCTGCTTCCCACTGGCTACTGGTTCAGCCAGGGGTGATGTAGCCAGTAGTTTAACAGGGTTCTCTAAGGAGAAAGGAGACACTCGAAATAACAGATTGTGCAAACTCAATAAGATAGTCAGAAAGCTCCATATCAAGAAGCTAATAGGCAAATCAGATGTGGGCAGAATTTAAAGAGATGGAGCCAAGGACTCAAGCTGAGATATAAAGCTAATAATTTGGGATTAAAAAGAGAAAGTGACCAGACAGAAAACACCCTAGTTTTCCTAACTTCGTTTCTTAGTGTGTAAATTAGCCCATTCAGAAAGAAGAATGGGCAGAAGAAAACTGGTCATCTCTTCTCCAGCTTTCCTATCTTTTGTATGGGGTGGGTGGTAGGTAGCCCCCCCTTGCTGCCACCCACTTGCACACTAACCTGGTCAGTAGGCAGCAGTGTTGATTACTCATGCATGACTTGGGGTGTCTGCTGGTGGGGTCCAACCTGAGTTAGGCAACTGTGAAAATCTGGGGCTCCCATGTAACTCTGACTTGCCTTTTCCTTACTAAAATGTGGGCCCTCCCCTGCAGTGCTCCCCAGGGCTCCACATGAATCCTTCCTATAATTCCTGTGACTTAAATGTGAACAATGTCCCTGTGATAGAAATGCAGGACCAACTTGTTAATGTTTTTATGGGGCCTATTTTCAGGAGACAAAATGTAGTCACGACACATGTCAGAGTTCAAAGAGGAAGGAGGAACAACTATGATGACTTGACCATGTGGTAGTCAGGACCAAAGGCCACTGGAGCGGGAAACCTAAGATGAAGGCTTTCAAGTATCTGCTTCTTAAGATGCTTGTGATAAGATCCTGGAGAGCTGCTGAAAGTAACATATAAATTTGGCTTTAAACATTTTAGCACTAACCCAAAAGGGACTCTAAAATAAGTCACGTGGTTGGGGAAGGGCTGGTTACAGTAGAAGTACTGTTGCTTTTGGAATAGAGATTAGAGAAAAACCCCTCCCTCCCATCCCCCTATTAATATCACCCCTACCCAACTGCCTCTGAGAACGTCCCAAAGGAGACTGTGTAGCAGAGTGAATCACATTAATGGTAAAAACCATAAATCTCCAAGGCTGAGACTGTAGGGTAGAATGACAAACAATAGTCCTTGTCCTCCAGAAATTTATTGATTTAATAAGAAGGTGGAATAGTTTATGATTTAATGGGTAGAGGCGATTGAATGAGTGGGATGGCCTTGGGTGAGCATTTCCAGAACAGGGTTATTATTCACACTCAAAGTGGAATGTACATGATCTCTCTGAAGGGCAGCGTTATGCTTGGAGACCTATGGCCACTCCACTATGTCTCTTCTGAAAAACAAGAAGTGACTAAGAGAGAAATGACCCATGAAGAAAGAGATAAAATAAGCCTTTGTTGGTGTTACAATTGTGGCAGCTCCTGCCTCCATGGTTGGCAATGTCACTGTTGCCACCATTGCTCACCAGTAATTGGATGAAATAAAGAGTGGCTGTACTGTGGATGCTCACAAATAAAGTATGTAAGACCCTCTTCCCCTGTGCGCTGGACTGGACAGTCAATGACGGGTAAGATCGGGGGCAGACTAAAGAAGGCACTGGCCAGCCGTATGTCTGTGACTCCTGACGACCTAAGACAGGCGCAGTCCCCGAGGGGCTTCATCATAATAAACTTTGGCGTTCAGATCAAACAAGGCCTACAAGCCTATAAGCCCAATCTAAGCAATAAGCCTGCAGTAAAAAACCCCTTCCTTGCTTGAGAACAAGGCTGCTAAGAGCGTTGCCCACAAACAAGCCTGATGGAATTACCTACAAAACAGTTTAACCATTAACCAGTTAATCATTGTTTCTGAATAAGTAGTAACTTAGCAACTTGTCCATAATTAATCTTCTTACTTGACTTTTTATATATATGTAAAAATCAGTTTCAGGAAATGTAACCATATATGCTTAGCAACTTGTAAACGATTAGCTAAAAAATTGTATTTTATGCCTAGGTAACAAGAAACATTGTTATGCTGGGAAAATAGATTTTGTGTGACCTAATGCCTTTTGAAAATGTATAAATATGCACAATGATTTGAGCAAATTACACTCAGATTTTCACTCTCCCTTGAGTGTGTCTGTGTGTCATTCTTTCTTGTCCCTCGCCCTAATTCCTTCGACCACCTTTTGCTCGTTCTCGCTCAACCCTGAGACTGTCTCGATCTCCCGCCACCGCTGAGCTGGTCTGCGGCATACAATAATTCATATTTATGGGAAATGTGTGAAACCCATGAAACAAAATCATGTCTCTTCAGTGAAGCATGGAGGAGAAAGCATCAACTTGAAGGAAACAGATGACCAGGGAAGAAGTAAAAGGCTGAACCCAAGGTGAGAACAGACCTCTCCTCATCACTCAGAAGAGCAGCTTCATCAGAAGAAAACAGCAGAAGCTTGCCTGAGAGATGCAGCCCCCACTGCAGAGGATACATGTCTTTAAAAGGAATAACAGCAACATTTGGGTAGGGTAAAAGGGGAGAGGAAACCAAGAGAAGAATAAATTCTAGAGAAACTTTCTCAGGTGAATGGCTTAATATTCCCTCCACAGCAAAGTGCTTCCCCCGATGAACCTCTAGCTATTCCTTCCAGTTAAGTGCATTTTTTTTTTATTTTTTAAATTGTTTGTTTTTGTCCTAAATACCTTGATCTAAGCTATTGTTTGTTAAAAAAAAAAGTTGGATATTGCAACCCACATAATAGAAACTTCATATTACAAATAACCCTGCTTCCAACCTTGCTGCCTTCTGCCACAAGCCTCTAGGCAGCACAAGTAGCAGCAAGTGCCATCTCTGCTCCCACCTTGGCCCTGGTGTGACAGAACAGCTTCTCAGCCACTTCCAGCTGCTCTGTGTGAGTCACTTACCCCAGTGCCTCCCTTTCTCCGCTGGAGTTGGGTGTGGAGCCATCCTCCTGAGAAAGGGTTAGGTACCACCCCTTTCCCTATCAAATATCAAGAGAAATGCCTTCTTCCTCTTCCTCTTCCTGGCTTTGCAGTGGTGTTCCCAGTATACTGGAAACATCACCTTTCCCATTTTTACCCACTTATTACCACTATTCACATTGCTGCACAGACTTGACACCTGTCATTCTGGGATCAGCTCACTATTTGCACACACTGTTATCTCAGTCACATCACAGTAAGATTTTGTATGGTCAAGAACTTAACCTTAAGTTCTTAAAATTAAGGACTTATAATTATTTGAAATGTTCTTGCATGTTAATTTATTTATAAGCTTATTGTCTGTTCTTCCCCCTCTAGAATATAAGGGTCAAAAGAACAAGAACTTGTCTTGCCTGGCTGACTGCTGTATTCTCAATGTTTAGAATATAATGCATTAATGGGTATGCTGTGTGAGTGTGTGTATTTGTTGTTGAAAATAGAGAGTATATCCAATTGTAAACCAGAGAAATTGGAGAAACAGGACATTTTATGGAGTGATGTTATAGGGGATCTTATTGTTGCCAGACATTACTGGGGACTGGAGAGTTAAGGAGTGGTATCAAATTGTTTAAGAATGACCTCGAGAAATTAGCACAAAAATTAATTTTATTAAATTTTAGCCTTTGAGTATGTCTTTTTAATATACTATGTGATGAAATGGTAAATATAAGTATTTCCTGATTTTTGAAACTTAAACGTTTGCTTTTATGAAAAAACCTACATTAGCACCTTTTTTCGCTAACTGAAAAAATCCCAAGAGTAGTTCTGGTTTTACAACAAAGGGCTCAAAAGTGAAACTGGCATCAGCATTTGTTTTGTGGCAGCCAACTAGATGCAGTGGGAACTACACTTGGCATCTCAGTATCCAGCTGCCCGAGCTTTCAGATGTGTGAGCATTTATGCTTTATCTCGATTTATTTTGTGCATCTGTTAGCAAGATGTGTCCTAAAGTATCAGAAAAATATGCTTTTAATTTTGAAAGGGCACATAGGTTTAGGGCAGGTTGTAGAATGTTTCTGGTGTCCACAAAGAATTATGTGATGGAAAAATGCATGAGGCTAAGTAGTTAAGCTTACTGTCTTATTTCAAGCCTTCCAAGTTAGCCACATCAGTCCCAGCAGATGATGAGCCTTCACCTTGGACATCCAGGCAGGCAGAGAGAAAAATGTGTAGATGTTGGTGATCTGCCTGTCCTGTTGGATTCAGGTGACAATAAGATGTTAACAGATGACCCTCTTCCTCTTCCTCCCACACTCCAGGGTCTGATGACTCAGCCTAAGAAACCATCATCACCACCTTTCAGTCTTCCAGTTCCTCATTCTTGTCCTGATTCTGGTAAGTGAAAATGCACTGACTAGACATTATTTCTCCTTTACACAGGCTGTGTATTTATCATAGCTTTACTGCTTGGTATATATGTTATATATCACTTACAACATGTTAGTGTTATTTTAGGTTTTACATGTTATTTGGTATGATTTGATAGGTTAGTTTTTGGGTCTGGGAATGCTCAAATATTGTTCCATATAAATTAATGGTAAGTGTTTCTTTGCATATGTCATTTCAGCTTACAAATGAGTTTCATAAGAACACTCTACCTTCGGTTAGCAGGGAACCAAGACAATAAAGCATTTCTGCTGAATAGTGAAATATTTTGATTTTCTTTAGGAAAAATAATTGGCAGTTGCATTATGAGTTAAATGAAACTTTTTTATTTTCATGGAACCCCATTTTTATTTGAAAGAATAAAATCAAACTATAATTATTTAGACGTGGTTATTTGACAGATATTTTCTCAAAAAGGAGTAAAATGAACTTGTCACCTCAAGTAAATCAACTGATAGTATCATTTGGCAATGATAAAAGTTTAACTTTAAAGAGAAAATTAGAATTATGAAAACCTTGTGTCCATCACAGTGAGCTTGGCAGCTTCCTTTAGAGATTATTTTGATTAGATTGATAATTTTTAAAATGCGATTTTTTTTTCTTGATGTGTAGTAAAATATGTCAGTATTACAAAGGCCTGTATAATTCAGTGGACCAATATTTTTTAATGTTATAAATCGTGTGCGGGTGAAAGACCATTCAAAGTACAAATAGACCAGTGGATTTCATACAAGATAGTTTAAAAAGTTCATCATACAGTTGAAGAGTCCATGTTCAAATTAACTTTTAAGAAACTGGTAGGTATTGAGTTTGGATATAATATTAAGGAACATGCACACTTACCCTTAAAAATTATTAAAATACTCCCTTGTACACAGAGGCTCATTTTTCTTCATAAACTTCAACCCCAAAACAAGATTTTACAACAGACAGAATGTAGAAGTAGAGTAGATATGAGAATCCAGCTGTTTTTTTTTTAATTAAAGCAGTCATTAAAGAGATTTATAAAATATAAATGACATCACTCTTCTAACTGAACTTACTTTGTTTTGGAAAACCGTTGTTTGTCGTAATTTATGTTAACATGCAATGCATTATTATTATTAATTTTAAACAAAAAAGTAAATATTTAAAAAGTAAATATTAATGTCCAGTGTGGTAACTACCAGTATTAAAAAATGTTATTTGGAACCCTCAATTTTTAATAGTGTAAGGGTATTCTAAGACAAATTGTTTAAAGAACCCCTGGTCTAGATTAGGTTTAAAACTCAGCAGTGTCTCCAAGAGGTGTTTTCTTCTCACTTTTTTTTTTATATGCAGGTTCACACTGATGGAATAAATTAAAAAAAAAAAAAACTAAAGGAAGGAGGCTAATATTCGCAGTCCTTCCTTTGTGAAGGAGGACATCTCTTGCTTTTCCTCAGAACTATCCTGTGAGGGAAAACTTATCCCATTTTGATAGAAGAAAGAGGTTCAGAAGTGTTATGTATCTTGTCCCAGGTCATACAGCTAATAATAGTTAGCAGAACCACAGGGCTGCCCAGGAGACCAAAAAAAATCAGATAATTATTGGAAATATTTAGGTCAGAAATACTTTCTCCTCAACCATATGCACCACTGTAGCACAGTATAGCTTGCACATGTGTGAACTATCCCTGTCACTGGCTTGGTATGCCAGAGCTTCCCTGTGCAGGCAAGGACAATAGTCTCACAGGAGAGTCATCAGATTTCCTACAAAATTCTATAAACCAGTTGGGCATCTCTTTAAACTTCTTGGAGTAATTCTTCTTCCTAAGGAAAAGTGTGTGTGTGTGTGTGTGTGTGTGTGTGTGTGTTTTCCTTCTGTTATTTTCAGGCATTCTTTTGTGAGCATGGAACTGATTACTAAATAGGGTCAAACAGCTTGAGTTGGACTTCCTGTGAGAATGTGAACAGTGCTGATTTCCAGTCTTGCGTTTGGTATGTTATCTGTGGCGGCTGTGCCCGTCGCCAAAGGTTCAGATGGCTTCCTTCAGTTTCCTGTATTGGTGGAAGGGTGGATGTCTGTGCACATGTGCTTGGGGAGCAGAGAGTGGAGACAGAAGGGAGGGTGTTTCTCCCTGGATTTCCCTGGAGTCCGGGAAAGCTTTACAGTAAGACAGACATTAGGAGAGCCACTTCTTTTAGTGAAAAGAGCACAAACACAGGTCCGGTGCTTGTCTGTCACTAATCAGCTGTCTAGTTTTCGGCACATTGCTTAATTCTCAGGCCCACTGGTGCTTCCTGATAAGGATCCTTCCAGCTCTGAAACTTTAGCTCCAGCTTCTATTCAAAGCCTCACTCTCCAACCTGGTGGCTTTGAAACATTTGTTTTTCTTCCTTCTGATTTTACTTTCCATATGTTCTTTGTTCCCTGCACTTCCCTTGAATTTCCATACATTATAACCTTTCAGTCTAGAAACTGTCCTCCACCAGCTCTTATTATTCAGCTCCCATTGTCTCTAAAATGATATTATAAGAGGTCAACTTTATCATAGAAAGTTCAGAATGTGTTTGGTCCTGTTCTTATGGGGTGGGGGGATGGAGGAAGTGGGTGTCAAGAGCTTGAAGATTGTCATGATTAACTCTGAGCCCATAATATAGCCTAGAGATGGAGGGTGGGCAACTTCTCCAACTCTGCTCTATTTTCATTAAATTCAGGTAGATTTGAGTATGCAGAATAATAGCATATTTAATTAATCTGTTTTCATGTCTGAAAATGAATGTTTAAAATGGAACCAGGACTTTAACTACTTTTCCACAAGCTTCCACAGTGGGGCACTCTGCAGACTTCTCCACATCCTCCACGAGTGGGTTTAGCGCCATCTAGTGATGGGATAGGATGGTGCGTTTCTGCCTGATTCCTTCATTTTTTGAAGGAAAAACCTGTATTTTTACAGAAAAACCTGTTGACTGTAAAATGCAGGCAAAGAGGAATTCAAACCAAGTAATAGAACATTTGCAGTGGTTCACTCAGCCTATAAAAGTTCAAGTTGGTTATTTACCATGCAAACGTGTGTGAGTTACGAATTGTAGGACCATGCAAAGTGAAGATTTATGGGTATGTTCACTTTAGATGTGAGTCAAATCCAGTCTTTCACTGTTCAGTGAGGTTTCTGTGTTCTCAGTGTGGGATCCAAATATTGGATCTTGGTAATTTATGTTCCTGTGGAAAACATGGACAAGTTGTTTAATATCTCTTAGTATCAATTTCTCTTGTTATCATTGTAAAGGATAATTTTCTATGAACCATTCCAATCCTTTAAACATTTTCTTTCTTTTTAAAAATCAAGCTACCTTTCTTTCTTTTTTTAAAGATTTATTTATTTATACATACAAGAATGGGGTGTAAGCAAGAGGTGCGGGCGGGGAGGGGGGGAGGATTCACCAGAGAGAGTGGGGAGCAGAACAGGCACAAGTACTGAAATTTACTGCTGAGGGGAGCAGCGAGCCAGGCAGGAGAGGTCTGCTGCACCATGTGGGTTGCTCCCTGGCCAGCTGGGGATCGAACTTTGCTGCAGTGGCTAGTAATAGCTTGATAACGCTGTCTTTAACCCCTGCGCCACCAGGGAGGCCCCCACTTTAAATGTTTTCAGTGGACCACAAACATTACAATTCTGTGATTTACTGTAGTGATTGTATATACTTCAGATTCTGGTTCTTTCTATCCTTCAAGAGTTTAATGTTAGCAGGAGGTATAGAAATAATACCAATAGTCTTCATTTATTTCGCTCTGCTACATCTCTGTTACTGTTTTGGAAATTTTATACAATTCACTTTTTGAAATAAAATATTATGACTTTATCTTTGGTTTACAATACTCTGTAAGTTTCTTCAGTTTAGTCTTTAAAATCTTCTGGCTGACAAAATCACAAGATAAATATTCTGATGCTCATTTTGTAGACAAAGAATCTAAGGTACCACACCTTGCTCTATGTGCTTACAAACTGGTAAAGGAAATAAAGGAAACAAGATCTGATCATCATCATAATTCACCCCACAGTGCAATTTGCCATGTTCCAATACCACCAAATATAGAGGATTCAAGTCACTTTAGAGATGTTTCTCATTCTTTCACATGCTCATTAAGCTGCTACTGTCATAAGGCGATTGTTACAGAAGTAGTTGAAAAAATTGGTTTTCCGAAGATACTGCTCAGCCACCATTTGACTCTCCCCAAGAACAATCCCTTTCAGTGGTCCCAGACTTATTTATGCCATGAGAACCATTATGGAAGTTGGGGTGATAGATGGGTGGTGGCTACCTAGCTGGGTGGTATGCTGTATCTGTTTATCCAGGAAAGCCCTGAACACCTACCACAGTCAGTCTGCCACAGTCGGTTTCTTCTCACACTGTTATATTCGCCAAGTTGCACATGTAGTGTTTTAAGCTGTTTGAATCTTCCACATTTCAGCAGTTGAAAGATGTATAGCCTCGTGTTCCATGGTAGCTTTGGCCACTACAGATCACGATTTCAACCATTTGTCACCTCTGAACAAATTTAATATTCCCCAAAGATCTACCTTCATTTTCTCCTCCACAGATTATAATCTTACTGACTTTTGTTCAACTAGAATTCTCTTCTGTTATCATGAAACTACTTACACATCTGAAATAGTAAGAATTAGAAGATGCAACAGCTTGCTTTGATAGCTTCTTGTTGCCTCTGCAGCTACCTGATTTGTCAGAATTGTTACCTGATTACCAACTTGTTAGTTACCAGTTGTTTTGAGAGATCAGTTCCTATGAACTCAGCCACAGTCAGTTCAGTGGAGACATTTAAATGACAGTGTTTGTGGACCAACCCGTTCAGCTGCTGATTTTTGTTCTCCAGGAGAGGGTGCCCTCGCTCCACTGCATGGTGCAGGCCTCCACAGGCGGGTTCCTCTGCCAGCTCTGGTGTTTGTTCAAAGGCGCACAGCTTCCCAGGC